AGGGCTAGGGTGGGAACAGTTCCTCTTGGAGGATGTCAACGTATGTGGCTGATAAGAATCATAAAAGACTTCATGATGCATAACATTCAATGGTACAATTAATTATTAATATGATTTAAGAGGAATAATTAAACAAAATTAATTTTCAGCCATTTAAAACATTGCAAAGATTTGAGATTAAACATCATTGTTTTTATTACTTTTTAATGACTTGTGTTTATGTAGAGTCCAGTTTGTATTTCACCAGCAAGATGATAACCCTTGTTGTAAGCTATAATTGGATTCAGTGCATGTTTAAAGTTGGCAGAAATCTTTTTTGAAATGCCTGATCAAACCAAAGCATGAACATGTATAGTGCTCTAATTCTGAGCTATCTGCAGACTTTTAATGAGGTACAAAATAAAGGGGTTTAGATGCACAAACTCCAGAGGTCCTTACTTTCCAATAATCAGTGAGACAATTCATATCTTATTATTCACTGTTGATTTTAATAATTTTTTGGTAGTTTTGTGGGCAGTTCACTATAGTAAAGTTTGATTTACAATGCTGAGAATAGCAACAGCAATATCAATAGCAGTTAAACTTATATACCGCTTCATAGGGCTTTCAGCCCTCTCTAAGTGGTTTACAGAGTCAGCATATTGCCCCCAACAACAATCTGGGTCCTCATTTTACCCACCTCGGAAGGATGGATGGCTGAGTCAACCCTGAGCCGGTAAGATTTGAACAGCCGAAGTGCAGAACTGCAGTCAGCTGAAGTAGCCTGCAGTGCTGCATTTAACCACTGCGCCACCTCAGCTCTTTATAGAAATAGAAATAGTACCTGGCATTAGGAGTAGTTATCGTTCTTATCTCCTGTGTCTATCTTATCAGCCCTATTTTAAAACTTCTACTCTTTTATTTTTCTTCCAATACATAACAATAACTAGTTCTGTTAGGACATTATTATCATTTCTCTCTGTTCTTGCCTGATAGCATTTATATATATAAACTGAACTCAATCTTCATCTGCCTTGGCTTATATTCCTCTCTCACTTCACTATAATCAGTTGGAGGAAAAGTCATAGTCAGTATAAAATATTTTGATAAATAAAATGTATAAATGAACATAGAACTGTGCAGCTCCAAGGATCTATGACCCCCACCTTTAAATTCATCAGTAGCTGAAAAACCCTGCATGTCTGAATATCTTTCTACTTCCATTGCTTTTAAGAAACCACTAGGAGGAGGAAAGCATCAAGATTTGAATCCATAGACAAATAGGTCCTGTATGCTGAATACATTAGCAATTGGTCATAAATTAAGACCGTATTACTGCATGTCCACAGTCTAGAATGCAACCATTTTCATTGGAAAGGTGAACGACATTGCTGTAAAAGAGAATCACTTTTGGTACTCACATCAATTAGATCGGAAACATCATGGATGTAGTATTTACTGACCGCTGCATTTGTGGCTGCTAGGTTCAGCAGATAATCATTCCTAGCTTTAGTGCACTTGAGCTTGTTTTCAGAATATTTTGCTTGCCTCTGAAAAATGGAACACAAAATTCAAACAAAATGTACTCAGTTTTCCAATTCTTGTCCTCCCCCCTCAAAAAAAATTCAGGCTCTTAGAACATAAAAATATCCCATTAGATCAGACTGCAGCATATCTAGTCCAGCATTCTGTGGCCAACCACAGGTCAGAGGGAAGCCGCCAATGAAGGCGTGGGAATAACAACTCCTTTCTGCTGTGGTTTCTTGATGCCATGCCATCCCCGATCTTGGGGTTATATATAGCCATAATGACTGGTAGCCATTGATGGCTTTATGCTCTATGAATTTTTAAAGAGAAGCACTCTATGCTGATGTGCTAGTTACAATTTAAAGGGGGTGGGGGAAAAACACAGGATAATTTACAACTGCTATTTCTTCTGAATATTTTCCAAGTACAGTTAACCACCTGACAGGCAGGTTTCAAATTTTGTACAATGTATTTAAAGTACAGCTTGAACATTTCTCACCACATCAAGAAATGTTTGGCAATCCCTCCCGCAGCAAGTAGTAAGCAAGGGTTTAAGCCAGGGGTGAAATTCAACAGGTTTTGACAGGTTCTGGAGAACCAATAGTGGAAATTTTTAGTAGTTCAGAGAACTGGCAAATCCCACCTCTGGCTGGCCCCAGAGTGGGGTGGGAATGGAGATTTTGCAGTATCCTTTTCCTTGAGTGGGGTGGGAATGGAGATTTTGCAGTATCCTTT